AAAAAATAAAAAAATTTGGAAAAAAAAAAAAAAAAAAATTAGAAAGTTTTGTTTCTGACACCCAAAAAATTAAAAAAACATTCTTATTTTTTGCTCTAACAAGCTACTTTACAGGCTTATCAGTGAATAATTAGCTTGCTCCCCTTCTCCAGTCTTAAAATAACAATAAAGTATTCATCTTTTAAACATCGGATATTGATAAACAGAGAATAGCAAGAAGCTCAGTGCAACACAAAAACAAATTCACATAAATAATACAACCCCCTTGCTAGAGGACAAATATGTCTCCCAATCCTATCCAGCGCAGACCGTCTGAAATTCAAGCAGGCCATACAGGGGCTAGTCTTAACTAAAGCGGTTCACATCAGGTGTCCCAATTTACAGCCCAAATTCCTCTTTTTTCATTTTACACCTTCAGCGTGTGCCCGGTGACCAGATTTCCCCTCACTTTGACCAGGTGAATATCGTCACTGGAACAGAAGTGAAGGGAAATCTCCTCAATAGGTAGACAGCAAAGAAAAATAAATCTTTAATCACTTTATCAAAAAAGTTTTATCTGGGAAAAGGCTTTAAACACTAACACATCCCATAATAATAAAGTCATATAAACAGTCTGACCTTGTGTGGATTTTGCCAATCTAATTAACATTTATATTTGACATGTCTTACTATAAAGGAAGAAAAACTTTTATTTTTGTCTTTCGCATCATAAAAATTAAACTTAAGTTTACTTCAGTACAGGATTTAATCTGCAATACAATTCAGCAACCTGCCCTCTAAACTAAAAGCTCCACAGTAGCAACCTAAGGTAGAAAACAATTCTGTTTTATTGCAGTGCAGGGGATGGTTCATTGCTCCTGCTGCTGACTGGGGTGGAATGATAATATAAAAGAAGGGGGGCACTGCCAAATTTGTTACGTTCCTCTTTTCGGTTACCAACTCAAAACATTGTGTTCAATTACCACTTTGCATAAACATGAAATAAATTAATGTGTACAACAATAAATAAAATGTTTTAGTAAAACCAATTCCACTAGGTTGTTTAGTTACTGTGGCAGTATGTGGTAAAAATCAGTGATCTGAGTATTTGTATGGCTATAGACATGACTGAAGAGCTGTGCCGAAAACAAGGGACACATCCAATAATAATAATAATGTGAGAAAGAAAGAAAAAGCAACTGTATTACAGAGCAAGGTTTAGAAGGAAAGGGAAAATGAAGAAAGAAGACTGTTGGTGAGAAGAGGAAGTGGACACAAGCACACAGAAGCAGAAGAAACTCACAGAAACAAATGTGGAATACAGAATAGCAATAGAGACAGAATTAAGCGGCCCATTAAAATTATGTTGCTTCATATGGTACCTTTTTAGGATGAATAAATCAGGGACAGTGTGTGGCAGAATAGAGGTGACCATGCAAAGTGCAAGACATGACAGCAGGGGTTACTGAGCTCTCCATAGCTTAGAACAGCAACAACTTTTACAGTCCATGTCTATGCTGACCCAGGCACCCCTTTCCTACCAACAAAGGAAACCTGTACATATGTGTATACATGAGATAGATGCATACAAAAAGGTTTCTGCAAGCTACATAAAAAGGCAGCCAATTTACTGAGTAGTAATGAGATACATAGCCAGTGTTTATACTTTGTTAGGACCCTCCCATCCCTCCCCACACTACAAATGGAATCCTTCATTCAGTTTTCTTCTTCAATGCTCCGGGGAGCTTGGCTTGAATCCTGTAAGAGAACAGAGAAATTGGATTTTTACAGATGTCTTACAACGGACTTAAGAGCTGCTTGCAGCTATAATAGTGCAGCTATCGAGCGAGGTGTGGAGTAAGCAGCCAAACAAAAACAGTTCCGGGAAGTGTCAGAGCTCTGCCCCTTCAGGAGTAGCCTGGCATTTAGGTGTAGACGGCAATGAAATCGGCTGTATGCGTGTCCAGTCACCTACTGATACCTGTTCTTTATACCTGCTAGCAGGCATTTTTTTCAAATATCACTTTAAACCATAAAAATAAAATGACTACTTAAAAAGGAGAACTATGGGGTCAGGGCTTTTCCCCGTAGTTCTCCTAAGGGTAACGGGAGGACACAAACTAGCGTTCTCCAGTGACCCAAAGCTCAGTATACCGCGAGCTACAGCTTGCGGTATACAGAGACGCCGCAGCCGGGACAGATCCCGACAATACTGTCTGGATCCACCCAGCTGCGAGATTGACAGCTGGCTCTTCCTATCCAGAGGCAGAGCCAGCTGTGCCCACCCCCTCCCTGTCCGTTTTGCCAGTCAGCGCTGGAGGATCGGAGCGGGGAATCCCTGCAGGGAGCCTGAGTGACAGTCATGGCTCTCTGCAGGGACATAATCGAGAAGTGAGCGAGCGACGGTATGTGTTCGTTCACTTCCCGATCTACTGAGCCGACCTGTGAGAGTTTCATTGTCACTCGCCTCATAATTCTCCTTTAAGGCATATCTTGCAATAGAATGCAAGGTCCACTTATTAGATCAGGGTCACCATATTATACAAGTAAAAACATCTGTACTGGGATATCACTATCCTTTAGGCAAGATTCCTGGTAAACCATGAAAAACCTGAAATCTCACGAGAAGACGCTGCAGCCAAGTGCAACAATATCTTCTTGAGAGATTTGGAACAGAATAGATCTAGAGCGCTACTACTGTAAGTGTGGTAGACTCACGTTTGGGATGTTACCATCTCTCAGGGGTAAATCCACTGATGTCCCTGTTCAAACGTAGCCTGGCTGAGCCAGATGACGTGGAAAAGGGTAGGTGCCTGGGTGGACCTTAGCTGATGGTGAGAGCAAGTGCTGTTATCTGCACGGACTCAGCTGGCCAGGCTGTACTTTTTTTGTGTCCGCACAATGTACCCTCTTACCCCGAGTGCTTGCAGTATAGGAGTGTGCACATATGTTGGACTCGCCCTCCATCTATTGTTCCACCTATCAGGTTAGCGTGATAGCTGTTGACTCCTCCCATCTGTCAAATTTAAAAGGTTAGAGTGTTTCCAGCAATTTCTTTCTCCCCACGAATCCAGGCTTGACAAAGAGGCTGCGTCTCGAAAAGCGTAGCCACCGTCCACAGAGATCTCTCCGCTCTAAGTTCCCCTGTTCACCACCACACTGACTGAACGGCATCAGATCGCAGACTCACAGCGCCGCAGGACCGCTCTGTCTTCAGAGCCACCTGACACTCTGACGTCCTGTTTTTTTTCTGCCGCAACAGCTCAGCTGAGTCTGTGCAGATGACAGCACTTGATCTCACCATCAGCTAAGGTCCACCCAGGCACCTACCCTTTTCCACGTCATCTGGCTCAGCCAGGCTACGTTTGAACAGGGAGATCAGTGGATTTCCCCCTGAGACATGGTAACATCCCAAACGTGAGTCTACCACACTTACGGTAGTAGCGCTCTAGATCTATTCTGTTTCATGTTGGTTATCACAGGGTTCCTCTCCCTGATTTACATAGAGCTTGCACACTGTTTGTCACAGCCCGTGTCCATTCCTCCAGAAGTTTTTACCCTATTGTAGTGTGCGCTTCCATTTTTTTTAATTTGGTTTGAGAGATTTGGGATCCTCATTATTCCCAGGATATTGGAAGTAGGTGCCGCAGGTGTAGTTTCAGGGGCACAGGAAGTATTTAATCTCCAAGTTATACTGCATAACTACATGAGGAACAGACACTAGAAAACAAAACAAAAAAGGCCAGCCCAGGATAACCCCTCCTCCCACCATACCTCAGTTTTGCAGTAAAGCAGTACCAAGAGCATAATCATAAACTCAGAGGGGCGGAACCTGTGCCATTAAATGGACTCCAAGAAAAGTATTTAACGGCAAGTACAAAAAGCCTATTTTTTGCTTGTCTATTGAGGGACACATGAAGTCCTTCACCTTCAAGACAGTCAAAGCAATCCAGGTAAGGGTTATCCTGGGCTGGCCTACAGTTTGTTTGCCACTGTCCAATCCTCCTGTAGGCAGCAATATAATATAACCAAGACTTCCTGTATCCCTTAATGGATTAGGAAAAAAAGAATCCAATGTTTTTCCTCACAGGTACCCTTGTAATCATTTATGGGTTTTTTCTTTTTTTTTAAACAGCGGAGGGAGCCCTGATCTATTAAGTGGACCTTGCATTTTAACATTTGTTTCTCTGAATTCTTGACAATAAAACCACCTCCACTACAAAACACACAAGTATATTTGCACTGAACAGTGAGGCCATCTGGTTGTCGTTTCAAATTTCTTACTCTCCAGACACCATTCAGAAGATAAATAACTAATTTGCTTGACTCTCCAACCCACCCCACTGGTAGCTTGCTGCCAGACATTACCTAATGCTAAACCCAATGACATATATAAGTAACCTCATAGAAATAAAATAATAACAATTACAATAAACTACCCTGACCAGAACTGCAGGTATATCGACCTGTAGTAGAAAACTATATTTACACATAGCCTGATTTAATCACTGCAATTAATATGCCATAATTATGGAAAGCAAGGAGCAGTATTTGTGTCACATATTAAAATTGGGAATCCATTTACACAACTATTATTATTAGACAGGATTTATATAGCGCCAATAGTTTGCACAGCGCTTTACAATACAAGGAAGACATTATAGTCACAATACAAGACAAGATGGTAAGGAGGGCCCACAACTACTTGAATAACTTCAGTTTAAAAATCTATGTACGGTATATTCAAACTAAACTGTTTAAGAAGGCAAACCTAAAAACCCCTTTAGGTACAATAATATTGGATCACAATGTAGAATGCCAAGTTCCACAAATATAGCAAAACAGATATTGAAAATATTGTGTAAAATTAAATTTCACTAAAGACTACAGCTGATTTTAGGTTCTTTATAGCAACTGTAGAGTTGTTGTTGTACCCTGTTTATAACTATGCACCTTTCCTATATATTGATGACATATTTTGAAAGTGCAAGATAAACAATCTGAACAGTCAGATAGGGAGTCTTCCCCAGGGATACACACTTTGATGACAAACAATCCCCCAGTTATCTGCTGCCTTCCAATTCATACGAGTAGTACTTACTTCTCTGTAATGGATTTCACTTGACTGTGCACCAGAGACACATAATGATCAATCTGTACCTAAGGCAGAAAAAAATGTTTGTTAAAAAATGAATCTGACAGAAAAAAAAGTCATAGATACATCCAATCTCACAAACCACAGATACATTCAATCTCACAAACCACAAGAGTGGGCACACAGGTAAAAGGCAGAAGACAAACTATTGTAAAGAAGAGACAGACAACAGAATGCAAGTAGAAGCCTAAATAAGTCAATGATTAAATATGAGACATGTTTTAAAGTCTATATATTGGAGACACTTGAAGAATCCCGCTTTGTGTGGTGGCAAGAAACACAAAACTTAAGGGTTAAACAACGGTCCAACAGAGGATGGGGTAACCTCCAGGTAAGATTTACAGGGGTGTCTTATGGTAGCAGTGTGGTTTCCACATAAGACAATTTATGCAACTGAGACATTATTTTAAACTTGGTCAACAAAGAAGACCAAATAAATCCTGTTTCTATAAACGTTTTACATGGTCCAAATGAAATGAGTGCCAACTAAATTATACACAACAGAACATAGACAAGACAACAACTTTAAGAATAAGCTTTTACTAAGTGAAATGTGTTAGCGGGAGGAGATTGGGTAGTCTAGCACCTGGTGGAATAAACAGCCAACGGTTCCAGAGTGTGGCCTTTCTTCTATTGTCTATGTGCTATATTGGAGGTAAGGCGAGCCCCTATGTGAGCCAGCACCTGGAGCCGAGGTGCGCTGGGGAAGTGTTTCAGTAGCAGAGCAGCAGCTGGTTTTCAGTTTGACTCAATAGTACACACCTGAACACACATAATCTTTGGGCTTTTCCAAGACCTGCATCAAGCCTCTTTGTTTCTTCATGTACCGGTGACCGGCATAGTTTTTAATACATGAAGCTGCTATCCAATACTGCAGATAGACAGAAGCAGCAGCAAATTTGCAGCATTCCTCCCTGCTGAAAGAACTGAACCAAGCAAGGGACTATTTACAGTTGTAACTGCTTACCGCTCCCCAGGACACTCATTTTTAAATAGAAATAGGCACAAACAGGTTTAGGTATTGCAGGCTGATGTGCTAGTAACCATACCTTGTATTTTTCATACACAACTGGAGCTATGAATGCAACCAACAGCCCTAAAAAAAGAGAAGAAAGTTTACAAAATAAACTGGTCATTTTCTGCGCTATAAAAATTACCTCACAAACTTGTAAGACAAATACTTACCAAGTATGAGAAGTGTAATCCCATTAAACACAGCGCCGACATAGGTCATCAGCCACATGAAAAGAGCAAGCTGGTTGGAGAAAATGATCAAAGTTATTTTTTTCCCCTTCTTAGGAACCAGTGTATATTTATACACATGTCCAGTGCTAACGGTTAATAAATTGTTTTTTCTCACCTTGAGCGAGTCTACTAGGTCCTCCACAAGAAAGAGGCGTACAATGCGCTTCAGGGCACTGTTGATGTGAACGAGGAAGGAACTGACTTTCTTCTGGAAGCTGTCAGAGGACAGGGTGATGTCCTGTTCCAGAAGGGCCCTGGAAAACAATTATAGAATTGTATTAAATCAGCAAAAATTAATGTAGCAGGTATTGTTGGATGTATTTCATGATACAGCACCATTGCTCTCAGGATGGCAAAACATAGGACTCTCTGAACTGCATCAGTGTCCTTAAGAAGTTGACAATTTTGGGAGTGTTAACATTTTCTGTTAAAAGTAGTGTCTGACCACCAAAGATGGGATGGATATCACCTACCACAATCATTGTATGAATACATAGTGAAGGGGTGGCAAGAGTTTATTTCATATCCTGCAGCTAAGATTACTAACTGTCTTCTGATAATAGAGCTCAACACAGATACCCAATTGTTCAGCTTCTGGATTGTTTATAAATAGAATATGAACATTCTAAATGCAATCTTCATTTTAGATAATTGTATTAAACCTGAACTCCAAGCAGATTAATACTAATGCATTGGTGTATCCATTGAAACTATCATCCAATGAATTTTTAAGTGTAGTTTAAGGCCCCATTTACACTAGTGCTGCTCCAAGCACTCAGCGCGTGCTAAATGCACAGCAATATCACACATTAATCTGAATGGCACCCCATGCAATTCAGATCCTCCAGTGACCGATTGCTGCGGCGCTATCGGTCTCCTGTAATCCCCTGTACAGCAGCATTCTGACTTGGAAGAGCAGTTCTCTGAGCCAATCAGATATGCATGAACATATGCTGAATAGAAACATGCCGACAGGGAAGGAGAGCATATGAATACGCTTATTCTGCGCCACTGTTGTGTCACCGGCTGGAGGCAGGGAGAAGACCAGGTTGTATTGCATAACTGCAGAAAAGGAAAGCCTGACGGTTTGACTGTGCAGTCTGGCAGGACTGTGTAAATCTGAGGACTTTATGAACAGAAATACAAATCCTTTCACAGGCAATACAGCTGTATATCAACTGTGTGTATTTAACAGTTTTCTGTTCAACTTTAGGTTATCTGCATCAGCTCATAACCACCGTGCCAAGCAATATTATTTCAGTGGAGTGATATTCAAGTCTCATTTGAAGTAGTATAATGGAAAGCTATTGCTCATTGCTACCGGTAGTAAGCCTTCTTATTAAATCTGTAAAAAGTTCAATCTGACCTTCAATTTTTGGGCTGTCAGAGCATGCAATGCTTTAGCCATGCAGCTTACGGCTAGGCTAATGCTGAATTTCTTTTTAAAAGCAAAATACCAATCTGTTGTAAAGAATACATAGTTACATACATAGCGATAGTATTGGAGGTTGAATAAAAGACACACGTCCAACCTTTGGGAGTCTGTATGCGAGTGATAGTGAGTGTGTACATGAGTCCCTGTGTGGTGTAGTTTTTAAGAGTACCTGTACCCCTGTATGTTACGGTCTCTGAAGGTATCTAAATGCTTTTTGAAGGATCCAATACTCTCTGCTGATTATTAGAAGAAAAATTAATTTTTGAACAACATGTCTTTTTTTTATTGAACTACAGGACGGACGGACGGACGGACGGACGGACACACACTTAACCATGGGTTCTACTGCCAAGTTGAGGTGACTGGACACTGGCAAAAAAAAAAAAACCCCACCCACTCCCAGCAAGCTTCAGTTTTGTCAAAAAGCAGGAACAGAGGTGAGAAACCTGTCGTCATCTTACTGTACTCCAAGAAAAGGATTTCTTAGGCAAGTCAAAAATTCTCTTTTCTTAATCATACACTACAGGACCCAGGATCAACATTAACCAAGGGACATCCAAAAGAAGTCCAACTGAGGAGTGGGCAACACAGCAACCAAATATCATCAGGTTCATGTATGAACGGGTAAAGCAGACTCAACAATTCAGAGAGCAATTTTAAGCACCTTACACCCAAAACAAGCATCAAAGGAGGCCCGAGCATCCACCTGGCAAAACGTAGGTGGATGTGTGAAAGGAAAACTAACTGGCAGCCTTGCAAATCTGGGAAACAGATGCCCGATGATAAAGCCAGTGAAACAAGATCAAACTATCAAATCTGGTGGCATGCGCCTAAAAAGGAAAGGAGGGACCCCATCCTTCAAGACTGTAGGCTGAAATGATGACTTGTCTAATTCACTGAGCAATGTTCGCACAAGAGGCAAGAAGCCCCTTATGGGAAGCTGTAGCAGAGAGGTGGACTCTCGCAGCATCACAACATCCAAAACACAGAAACTTTCTTGGAATGGTTTGGGGCAGCACATAAGGAGGGAAGCACAATGTCCTGGTTAAAGAAGAACATTAACCATATCTTTTAAATAACAAACACACCTATAGAAATGTTTAGTAATGGCAATCTATAAACATATACTTAGATCATTGCAGGCTTTTTTATTCTTTGCATTTTTGTTTTCCTCCCCATTCTTCTCACAGGTGGCAATATTTACTAATGGAAGATTAATATAACTCCCTTTACTTCCTGAAACTTTGACACATGTGACTAGGACATGTGACCATGCACATCATTTCAGGGGAGGAAAATGCCTTTCCCTCAGATCTTGTGACATTACATTTGAGATTTCCCAGCTATGCACTGCTGATGTAACATTGCCAGGATGCAACGCTTGGGTACATTACAACACTAATGCCCATGAGGACCAGGCAGTCAAAAAACATTATAAGTAGAAGAAAAATATGTTAGTTTACCGAACGAATGCAAGGCAATTTCATATTAGCATGCAAAGCTGCATGCTTGCGTGATTTTTTTTAGAGAAAGGGGCAAAGGTCCACTTTGGTAAAAGGGAAGAAACCACCTCGGGAAGAAGGCCTTAGGACTACCCTATCCCTGTGTAACACTAGGCAAGACTCTTTAAAAAAGGATAAGGCAGCCAACTCGGAAACCCACCTGACGTGAAATTTGCATACATGCTCTAAGTGAATGTCTCCGAAAGACTTGAGGCCCTTGGGCCAGCATAACAGCCAGAAACTAGCATTTTTTTTTAAAGTTTAGAGACTTATTCTCCTCCATATTCTCTCAGTACAGATTAGCTAAATGAACCCAATGTCAAAGGGGTATCTGTCAGGTTTAAATCTGAGAACAATTTAAATCCTTTAATCCGCAACAATTTCTCTTTATACACATGTATTTCATGGAAGCCTAACACATTCAGGGTCTAACAGACACCATAAGGGTCACTAACATACTTCCTGCTTACAGGCTGACCCTCCAGAGAATGTCTCCACTGGTGACCCTTTACGCCTATGCAAATAAGGACTTCCGACCACATACATGCCTACTCATCAAAGCAGGTGGAGTTTTAGTGCTATTTTAAATGATTATTGTTTCTTGCAAGTGAATGTAAATCTCTTCTACAGAACATAAAAATCACATACACTGCATTTAATCAAGAAGGCATATTTTTCACCATCTGCATCAATATTAAAGAGACAGACATTTTCCTTACTAAAACCTAACCATGATATACTCAGATTACCCAAGGAAAAGCAAGACCAGCTGAGCGCAGTGTGACCACCGAAAGGATAAATGGGCTGGTTGAACATGGTCTCTTAAACAATAAGGGAAAAAAAAAAAAAGAAGAGCTCTTACTTAAATGGATGTCCCTCATCAGACTTCTGGACGGCTTGCATGACAGATTTGTAGATGCGGAAGCTAATTGTAACGGTCAGCAGGGACAGCAAGAGATATGATACAACGCTAATGATGCTGAATGCTGCCAAGGACAAAAGCAGCACCATAGTGGCTCCAAAAACCATCCCAGATTTCTTCACATCTCTCCAATACACCAGATCATGAACTGAAAAAAGAAAAAAAATGCCATTTCAAATTTTGCCCAAGCCAAATCATTTACATATCCACAGTCTAAATACTTTGTTTAAATGAATGTCAGTCAACACAACCTGAGAGGAAGATAATAACCCTACAACAATGCTATCTCGATGTTCAATAAGTTTATTTTATGCAATACTACCAGCATCAAGGCAGGTGTAATATCCCTGTGCAACAATCCAATGTTAAAGTGATATTAAAGTCAAAGCGTTTAAGCTATTTCAATCCTTACAATGAATGCTGCTCCTTGATGTTTAAAAGTTTTAGTTTCCTGCAGAATCAGCTGCTCCCCTGAACCTTGGTCCTGACTTCCAGACCTCCTTTCTCAAGCAGAGTGCTATGCAGTCACCCTTGTGTGTGCTAGTAAGCAAATCAAGCTACTCCCCTCCCCCCTGGCCCCGTCTCCCTCCTTCTCCAGTCTAGTAGATGAACAGTTGCTGGAGTCTGCACTGTTCTTTCTGATCTAGTACTGGACAGGAAGATGAGCTGAGAGACTTGGAAGCAGCTGTTCAGAAACAGGATTATTGTAAGCGTTTGGGCAAAGATGTAAATGCTTTGCTGAGCAGTGTATATTTGTTTTCAATTCAATATTTTTATATATATTTTAAAAATCAATATTAATATTAATTTTAAGTGTTTAAAAAGGAGAACTATGAGGTGAGTGCTTTTCACTCACCTCATAGTTCTAGCCGGCCTGTGATAATGAAACGGTCACAGGTCAGCTCAGCAGATTGGGAGGTGAGCGAACACATACCGGCGTTGCCACACAACGCAAGCAAAATTGTATATTGCGTATATACGCGCGTGTATGCGTGCACTATATGCAATCCCAGAATGCATCACTTGCAATGGAATTTTTAATGTGCTGTACGCATGTATGTGCACGTAAATACGCAGAAATACGCTGCCCAGACGCATCTGTTCCCTTCTGTTTTTGCGCATACATGTTACGCTACGCAAATATACGGCTCCATGTATGGAGCCATTTATTTGCATGTGTTGCATATGATACAATACGCACGTATATGCGCGGCAGTGTGAATGAGGCCTTAAGGTCTGACTTTCTATTGGAGATGCAATCATAATAGCATTGATTTGGAAATCTAGGAGTAAAGGTCCACTGAAGCACTAGGCTTTGGCTGTAAAGCTCTTCTAGCAGGCATGCTCATTTACTTTCACTGGTACACTAGAGATCATCATTTCACCATGCATGCTCCAAAACGATTTAATTCATTGTCAGTGGAAATATTTAGAAGTGGGTTCATGTGTGTGGTTACAGTAATGTAAATACTTAGTTCTAATTGAAGTCAATTGCCAATTTGCGGTTTATTGCCAGTAACAGCATGTGAATCGTTCTATGGGAAGCCACTTAACATCTTTAGCTGTAGGACTTTGTTCAAATGAGGTTTCTGCTGCATCTGGTTGGCAAACTTGTAATCCCTTAACAAAACTAAAATGCCTAACTTGCAATATGAAGACCATTGCAGTAAACAGACACCACGTTACTTGTCTGAAGACCTAATAAGAAACTGCATGCTACTTGTGAATTTTGTACTGCCAACAGCAACCAACCAGAAGCTGATCTGTTGCCATGGACAACAAGAAATGGCTTTATATTAGCCTACTGTAGTTCTCTGCAGCACAGCAAAGCAATCAGGCTTTACGGCATTGCATAGGGAATAGGCTGGCAGGAGAGTAGAGCAGAGTTAATTTTATGTAATGCTGATCCTTCACTTTCTAAATTCTGAGGCATACCTTCAGCAAACTATTTTAATTTTGTTAGAAGATTACTTTTTTTCATTAAAGAAAAAGCACACACACACCTAAAAGTAAAATGTGCATTTAGTGGTTTTTTTTGATCATTTGAGCCTGCAAAGCAATGCGGTCAGTGGGGGCTCCTGGATGGAGGTGGGCATTTGGTGGTCACCATGTTTAATGCTATATCCTGAATATCGGTGTAACATGATACATTGTCTAAAAAGTAAAAATAATAATTAATAGATATAGAAAGGCAGCAAGCACAAAGTACTTTGCTTCATAAAAATGAAGCCTAAAAAGAGGGCTAGAAGATTGGTGGACAAATGAATACAGAATTCAGGAGCCAGTCTGTCCAATCCTAGAGTCAACAGGATTTTTAATTTTTTTTTTTTTAAGTCAACTTAGTTAACAACTAGAGAAAACCTTAAAAGTTAGGTGCCAGCTGTAATTTTTAATAAGCGTTGGCTACCTGGCGGCAGGGATTTGTCCAGGCCTGGGCTAAACAAATGATAGCAGAATTCTTGAAGCACATGTGTATCTAGAAGCCAGCAGGAACTTTGATTACCAATTCAACTTACAAAAATAGAAAAGGGATAAGAAAAAAAAAAAAAAAAAAGTTAGCCATCTATCATTTTCTGGGTGTGTTTGCTACCTAGAAATGTATTTATTTATTTTTAATCTGTCTGCCATTTGTAACATATCAGTGCACGAACACAGAGATTCCCCATCATAACCACCAGCAATGCCCTATCCTGGCATATATACACATTTACTTGTATTAGTGCTTACAAGTATTATTTTAAGTGATCAAGCCAGGTAAAAATGGTGCACAGGATGATTTATCCATCCCAAAAATCATTCTTATTGTCTTAGAAAACATTTTGTTATTCTTTGAGAAAGGAAATGGCTGCTAAGCGGTCGGTATTAGCACACAGTCTGTTTATTTCATTTTAGCATGAACAGCATGGACCAAGCAAATCTTGGAATAAGTTAACTTCCTGCCCAAGAAGAATGCGTGAAAACCGATGTGCACGGTATGATGAGTTATCTACACGCTTGTCACCCATGAATAGATAATGCTACACAGTTTATTTGTAAAAATTGTAGAAGGTAGCTCGGCCTCTGTGTCCATTAGTCTTCACTTTTTTGAAAGGCCATCCAAAAAGCCACAAATCAAATTTAATCTTTTTTTTGTTTAATATTACTCACTCGCCCTCCATGAGAACAGTTTTTGCAAGCACAGACATGGAGCTTTAAAAAACCCAAACACACACTACTGGTTTCCTGATATAAATGACAACAGACATCTAAACAATGTTTAGATTTAGATCTAGTAAAAGCAACTACTAAAAAAAAACCCCCCACAAACTTACCACACAGGCACACCAATCTATAAAAAAGACACACCCTACCAAAAGAGATGATTATGTAAGACTGTGTGAGAGAGTATGGGACCAATGTAAATTGCACAGCTAAAACTTTAATATAACCGCACCATCTATCCGATACCTAAGCAGATGTCTTTAAACGTTAAGAACTGTTCATTAGCCAATGGATGGCAAATAATCATTTATGACTGGTGGATGACTGTATAAATAATGGAAAAGTCATGTGGAACATAAAAAATACACTCGTTACAGTGTATGTAAAGTAAAATGCTTTGTGTTCGTTTTGGATAAAATGCGAAAACTAAAATGTGTACATAAACACTGAAAGATTTCAGGCACAAATCAGGTTTCCTTTCTTCAACCTAACCTGTTCTATAATGGATTTCATAACTCTCATCGAAAACAAAAACCTATAGACGAGGTGAACACGTAAAACTAGATCTGAAACATTGTTTCAATGCCAAAATCTGATTTAGTTGTAAAAAACCTCAGGTTTAAAATGCAAAACAAAAAGCAGAAAAAAAAAATTTCGATTTTTTTCTATATTCACTAAAATCGATGTCATTTAGAAAGTTATACATAAAATGCTTTATTCAAGCTTGCCATTGTAGAATAAATCTCTGCTTAGAATTCGTGAACTCTATACAGGGACATTACAAGCATGCTTGCCATATAAACATTTGCATACATTGTATTCTACCAGAAGAGTTCCTACAACCTAAAGTACACTACTGTTAAAACTACCTTAAGAAACCTGACCAACATTTAAAAAAAAAAAAAAAAAAAAAAAGATTTCAAACAAAATACTTTGCAGTTAGAGATGAGAATGCAGGTACAAAATATATATTCAAATGTAAATACATATACATACAGAAGGTCAGAAGGGAAGGTGCATGAAGGGAGGATGCACGCATGCCAATTTGAATTTATATAAAAGTACATATAGGCAGGAAAGCAGGTAAAAAGGTAATACTTGATAGCCGTGCATGGCAGCAATGTGTAAAGACAGGGCAGGTTGCTGTGCCAAGAGCAAGTTGAGCATGCTGGATAGGCATCAAAGATGTGCAACTGGGCATGTATGATGCATGCCTGCAATGGACATCTACACTGCATGCTACTGGTTCATTGCCCATGCCAACAGTGCATGCCGACAACAGATGAGTAGGCATGAGCGGTGTAAGTCAACAATGTGAAGGTCATGCCAACGGTGCACTGGATAAGAAGTCTTCTTTACCTTTGAACGTCAGAATATCAACTGCGGAATCCTGGAATGATTCTGCTGGAGCTTGACTGTCTGTCACCTTTAACCTCTCAAAGCTGCCAAACCGAGGACACAAAATCTCAGGAGAGGATTCCTGGCTTTCTGAATTCCACTCTTGCGTCCCTTCTGCCAAAGCTCTTAGAGCTTCAATGGTTAGATTTTCCTCTACTTGGTCTTCAAGGGATTCAGCCACCCCACTATTAGGGTAGGTACCGCAAGTTTCTGCTAGATCCACAAAGTCTTCATTGTGAGGAGATTCTAGGGTCTTTGATGCAGATCTGTTCAAATTATCTGTAACATCTGCTAAACATTTAGTTTGGGTTTCACTGTATTGTGATGACCACTGAAGTTCAGAATTATTGGTAGGTGCCTCATGTACCGTTACATTTTCCTTCTTGGTTTCATTATTCTGCTGTGCATTATGAAGCTCAACCCAACCATCCTCACTGTGTTCTCTCTGCTCCAGTTCTGAACTTTTGACTCTCCAACCAGCATCTATTACTGTGTCATCTGACTCCCCTGAGCTGTCCATGTCATCATCTGCATCTGGCCATCGTAGCT